GTGCTGGTGTCCTCTCCTCCAAGAAGACAGAAGACCGTTGCTCCGCGGGGCGCCTGGGTGGCTCAGTGGGTTAAAGCCTCTGCCTTCGGCTCAGGTCGTGATCTCGGCGTCCTGGGATTGAGCCCCACATCGGGCTCTTGGCTCAGCAGGGAGCCTGCTTCCTCCTCTCTCTTTTCCTGCTTGTGATCTCTGTCTGTCAAATAAATAAATAAAATCTTAAAAATAAAAAAAGAAGACCATTGCCCCTGCCAGGGGTGCGAGCCAGCAGCCGCGAGCAGAGGGCCCTGACCTCCACGCCCTGCCTTTTCCCGCATCTCCTCCTCCTCCTTTAAGATTGTATTTATTTATTTGACAGAGAGAGAGAGAGAGAGAGCACAAGCAGGGGGAGTAGCAGGCAGAGGGAGAGGGAGAAGCAGGCTCCACAGAGAGTTGGGGGAGCCCAATGCTGGGCTCCATCCCAGGACCCTGGACCACGACCTGAGCCGAAGACAGTCACCAAACCACCTGAGCCACCCAGGCGCCCTTCTTTCTTGTTCCTCTTTCTTCTCCTTCCAGAACCTGTTGGTGGCTACAGGCCTGGCTTCATGTTCCACGTCAGGAAAACTTGGCCGAGAACAAGATGGTTACCACCGGCTGAAAATAGGAGTTTGTGTCTCTGGTAACAACAGGTGACAGGTGCTTCATAAGATCCCCACCCCCGCCCCCGCCGCCAACACAGCATCAGAGCCCCGGGGCTCCCACTCCCTCTGTGCGGCCCGCTCAGGGCACGGGATCTGTCCGGCCCGCTCAGGGCACAGGCCAGCCGAAGGGCTCCTCCACACTTCCCCGCTTCCATCCCGCTGAGCCGGCGAGAGCGGGGAGAGGACCGTGTCCCTTCTGGACTTGGTGCTCCTGATACTTCTCTCTGCCTCCGTTTTACCCGCTGACGCTGGGGCGACTTGGAAGCCACAGATGGTGGCCCCAGAGGTAGGGGCGCCCTGGGTTCCTGACCTACGCGATCGCCCCGTCATGTGAACAAATGCGCATTTTGGGCTGGGTCCTTACTGCACCACTGCCCAGCCCATCCCGCTGGCCCTCCGTGCTGGCTTTTTCTTTCTCTTTCTTTTTTTTTTTTTAAGTCAAAACTAATGACTTCATGGACTGATTCTAGCCCTATTTGTTGAAAGGACTCCCCCCTCGGCTTGCTCTGGGGACCTTACTGGCCCCCTGTGGCGTGTGCACCTGCGTCCAGGCTGTCCTCCGGGCCCTCGGGCTCTGTGTGGGCCTGCGCGGCACCTGCTGTCTCGGACCGCAGCCCCACAGCAGGTCTTGAAGTCTTTAACTTGGTTCTTTTCCAAGGTTGCATTTGGGATCCCACTAACGTGCTTAGTGTTTCCATACGAAGTTTCGATTCGGCTGATCAACTTTTTTGTAATGTATTTGTCAGACTTTGGTACCAGAATTATACTGGCCTCACAAAATGAGGAAAAATGTCCTCTTCTAGTCTGATTTCTGGAAGGTTTTGGGTAATGTTGCTACTCTTCCCTTGAATGTTTGATAGAATTTGGCAGTGAAAGTACCTGAAACTGGGTATTCCTTTGTGGGAACTTTTTTGGTTAATACATTGAAATTGTGCAATAAATATGGGCCACTCCCATTCTGAATCTCATCCTGGCTCACTTCCTAAACGACGTCTTTTTTTTTTTTTTTTAAAGATTTTTTTTAAATTTATTTGACAGACAGAGATCACAAGTAGGCAGAGAGGCAGGCAGAGAGAGAGAGAGAGGAGGAAGCAGGCTTCCTGCAGAGCAGAGAGCCTGATGTGGGGCTCGATCCCAGGACCCTGGGATCATGACCTGAGCCGAAGGCAGAGGCTTTAACCCACTGAGCCACCCAGGCGCCCCTAAACGACGTCTTTATGGAGACATCACTTGTATCAAAACGTGCCCGGTGTTGAAGTGTACAGTTCTGTGTTTTTATTATGTTCAGAGAGTTGTGTAACCACGACTACTATCTAATCCCGAATAGGGCTAATCCTATTACTCACGGTGGGACGCATCGCCACAAACACGGAGTTAGCTAGCACCGAGCCCTTGCTCTAGAGGGATGCGTGTGGCCTTCCTGCACGCACACGGTTCACGGAGATAATAACCCTAGCAATCGAAACACAGTTCCTTCCGGTAGATTCTGTTTGACAAAAGAGAAAACAAGGCTCAGAAGTGTCGTGTGAACTGGCTGGGAGTGGGGACTCGGCCCTGTGCCTCTGGCCCCAGACCAGGAGCCCTCTGCCCTCCGTGCACACCCATCCCCACCCGCCCACATACTCGGGCCTCGGAGGCAGGAGGCAGGGCCTCACCTAGTCCGACCTCGACCTCGGCTGGGGATGCTCAGGTCTTCCACTGTCAGATGAGGACAGGAAGGACTGATCTTGAGATTACAAACAAAATGTGATCAAGCAGGCCAGTCTGCAAACGCACAGCCTTCCAGTGGGGATCAAGGGGTTTTCGTGGCCCCAAGAAAGCCCACACCCATCAGCAGCTGTCCCCGTTCACCGGCCCCCAGCCCCCAGCAGCTGGCCTGCTCTGTGGGCCACTGTCCCTCCAGGGCTGGCCTGGGGCCTGGCCTGCAGTGACACAGGGTGTCCTGATATTTATTGAATACTCGTTTAAAAAAAATGTTAGATGGAGCTCCAGGGACGCACGATTGAATTTTTAAACTTAATTTACAAAATTTTAACTTTTTCTGATGCTTCGTCTATTGCACGTCCATTATATGACATATTTTGTTATGCATAAAACGCCATAAAGGAGAAAGAGAAAAATTCATTTTACTGGTTTTTGCATTTTTCAGAGACAACTAAACATTTTGGCGTTTCTTTCCAGGCTTTTTGTCCTCCCTGGAAAACAACGGCGCCAGCTGGTCTGGCGGACCGCGCCGCTCTGGAAGCCGGCCAGTCCCCCGCCCCTTGGAGGCGGGGGTCCGGGGACGACTCTTCCTCCTGACCCAGCGAGGGGGTCTAGGTCTCTGAAGGGGCCCAGCCTAGTGCTCCAGCCAGCAGGTGGGCCGATTGGGCCAATCCAATGCTGTGCTGCGTCTATGCTCTGTGCGCACAGGACACAGGGGAGGCAGAGGGCCTGAGCGGCCTGGGGTCTGGGAGGTTTGGTTACTGCCCCAGTCTTGGGGGACTGCATGCTCTATGTCCGGGGGTGTGAGGGGGCGTCCCGAGCAGGGGCAATGCCTGCTGGTGACCTGCCGCAAGCCCTCCCGAGTGACGGGGGTCCCATGCGAACTTGCTGCTTCCGGGGCTAAGGGCTCCCCTTTCCCAGGACCCCAACTGGCATCTCCCACCCCCTGGACTTCTGGAGCCCACATCTACCCGTCCTCAGGCTCCGTTCCCAGTCTGAGGCCCGGGCCGCCTCCTGATGCCCATCTCACCCTCCGCCCTGACGGCCCCCCGCAGCCCCAAGCTCGCCCGGTCTGCCTGTCTGCCGCGGTGTGCGGCCGGGGACGCGGGATCCTCTCCCCAGGAGCCCCGAACAGTGCGACCGTGCGCCTGGGGACAGACATTTGAAGCAAAGTGGGAAACTGCCTGTTGGAAAATTTCATAACCCAAGTCCAGCAACACAAATGGGCTGTGCTGGGGCCACTAACGAGAAAAGCCTCAAGGCCCGAGTGCGTGAACGTGAACTCAGACCCCAGCCAGAGCGGGAGAAACGGCTCAGGCTTGGCTCACGAGCCCACGGCAAATCCAAGCCTGGAGGATGGTTTGGAGAGCAGAGTGACCAGCTCAGACTTGATGGCGTCTGAATGGTAAGCGGTGTAGACAGAGCAGAGGTAGAGGGGCGCGATTCTCCACAGCAGAGACGTCCCCCACGGGCACAGCGTGGCCCAGGCTGAGGCGAGGGCTTAACGGAGGCTGAGGAAGGGGCAGAAGGATCCCCCACCTGCCGCGGACAGAGCATCACGCACACCCACATGCCGCGGCCTGCAGACCGCACCGCGAGGCGCTGACCCGGCGCTGAGATCCGGTGCCCGTTTCCGTCGCGGATCCCTCCCCGGTTGCCGTGATGGTCGTGCAGCGCCAAGAACACAAGGTTTCAGACTTGCTGAAATTCGCCACTCACTGCGTTTGCCTGGACCGCAGTGCTCCTATTCCAGCCCCAACGGTGCTCAGTCTGGGGCTCCTCGCGGGACTGTTGGCAGCCCTGGGGCCTGGAACCCGTGACGCTCGACTCCCAGTGACCTCCGGACGTGTCTTCCTCCTGGCGGAGCGCCATCGAACCATACACAGACACCAGTCCACACGGACACCAGTCCACGCGGACTCCAAGCTGCTGTCTGGGTGCTCCCTGCCTGTCCTATGCACAGGCATCGGCACCTACGGCCCTGCACACACACACACACACACACTCACGCACGCTCACGTACAGCCCTGCCCTTATGCACACTCACGCACGGCCCTGCACACATGCACACTCACGTATGGCCCTGCAGACATGCACATTCATGCATGCTCATGTAAGGCCCTGCACACACGCACGAGTGCACGCTCATGTGCGGCCTTGCACACACACACATCCAGGTACGCTCACGTATTGCCCTGCACACACGCACATCCACGCACACTCACGTACGGTCCTGCACACACTAATGAGTGCACGCTCACACATGGCCTTGCACGCTCATGTATGGCCCTGCTCACGCACATTCACACACGCTCACGTACAGCCTTGCACCCCCCCCACGCACACACTAGTCATCCCGCAGTGCGCTGAGAAAGCAGGCGCGACGGAAGACTAGCCTCCGGGGCCAGGTCTGCGGTGGGTCCATCGTTCCCTGCAGGAACCGCCGCCCAGCCCCCGCTTGGGACCCCACGGAAGAGCCCCACGGGCAGTTAAGGCTTGGCAAGCAGGGCTTTGAGGGGCGCAGAGTTGCCTGGAGAGACCCTTCCTGGGCAGCAGCTGGAGGCCTGTCAGCTCAGCTGCCAGGTGCCGTGCTGGTCCATTAAGCCAACGAGCCAGAGAGTAACAAGCCTTTATTCACTTCCGGCAACTGCGCAGCCAGGACCCAGGGCGAAAGTGCCGAGTTCCCTCATTCCCCTCTCTCTTCCGCGGAAAGGCACAGTTAAGGCGGGTGGGGGCTGCAGGGGCGGGGGCACCGCCCTGCAGGGGGAGCCCGGAACAGAAGGGCCCTGCTGCTTTTTGGACTTGGGGCAGGGGCGAGGTCAGGGAGGAAAAGCACTGAGCGGTGGGTCGGAGTGGAGAGATGATACAAAGACCTTGGCTGAAGGAACCCGGTGAGGCGGCCTCCAGGTGGCGATGCCCAGGGCAGGAGTAAGCTGGGTTCCGAGCCCGCTGGCCGGAGGCCTTACTGCAGCGCCTTCAGAGACCAGCCGGGTGGGGGGAGGGCGGCTCCCCGCTCCAGGCCTGCCGGTGCAGCCTCCGTGCCCACTGATGGCCTGCCGACGGAGCCCACGCACGACCCTGGCCTGGAGCCCACTCAGGGAGCCTAGTCTGCCCGGAACCCCCTCTCCAGCAGGGTGAGGAGGGCAGGATGGGGCCCTGGGAGCACAAGCCAGCCTCCTCCCAGGCCCCTAGGTCCCAGGGTAGACACCTTTCCTGTGGGAGCACACCTTGGGGGCTGCGCTGGAAGGAGGACCCACATTTCCCCCTCCCGCCTTCTGCGGCAGCTGGCACATGCACAGCCTGGACCCCTGGGCGGGGGCAGGCCGCTCACCCAGAGAGCTTGGTCATCTGGCCCGCCAGGGGCTCTGGGGGGGCGCTCTGGGGGAGGCCTGCAGCACCCCCATCTCCTTGGACGTGGCCAACTAAGAGAGCCAAGGGCGGAAAGGGTCAGCAACGGTCCTGCTCCCTGGGTTGGGAGTCAGGGTCACCGAGCAACGAGGTCACTCTGCTTGTGCATAGAACACCAATCCGTGTCTGGGTAGAGAAGGCAGTGGACAGACTTGAACCTGGGAAGCAAATGCGGAGGTCAGGCCTACCGGGATGTAGGTGTTGTTGGGGGTAGCGCCAGAGGCCCTCCTCACTGCCCACTTACCGTGTGGGGTCCTGCTGCAGGCTGAAGCCTCCCACATTCACCACATTATGTGGGTTCTCTGGACCCCCGTAGCTCAAGGTGACCTGAGGTGGGGGGAGACAACTCACTCCCAGGATCAGCTCTTCCCCCACACCCTCCTCTGACATCCAGAGTCAAACCAGGAGAGGCCGCTGTGCCTCTGGCTCCCCGGGGCCCTCCAGGGCAGGACTGCCCCCCATCCCGGTGCACCGAGGGCACGACCTCCCCCCCACCTTCCAGGGTAGGTGGAGGGCCCACACAGGCCAAGTCCAGGCCCACCCCCCACTCTCCCCACCCAGGGCAGGACTGTCCCCCTCCATCTGGGGCATCCAGGCAGGCCCCTCACAAAGGAGCCCCTGTACCCAGGCCCCTGGGTCCCAGCTGCGGGGCTGGGAATGCTTCCCTGAGCCCTGGTGATCGGCCTGAGATCCGGGGGAAGGGCCAGGCACCTCGGGGGGCAGGCGGGGGGCGAGGCCCGGGAGCTGTGCTGTACCTGCTGCAGCACGGCGTCGGGCGGCAGCCTCCGCAGGTCCTCCAGGTGGGAGTGGAAGAGCGAGCTCGGCAACAGGCGCGCGCCCAGCAGCCCCTCCACGATGTAGCCCACAGTGCAGTCGTCCGGCAGCCGCGCACGCTCGGCCGTGCTGATGAAGCTGCCCAGGCTGGTGGGGGGCCGGGGCCAGCGGGTCAGGGCCTCCTCCATTCTCAGCGCCACCATGCCCGCCTCCCAGCCCGGGCAGCTGGCCCCCCACGCACCGCCCCCTCACCTGGCCCAGGGGCTCATCTTCAGAGCGAGGCCTCTGCTCAGACAGAAGCCGGCTCCACCCGTCGCGAACCAGAACTTGACGGTGGTTACCTGAGGAGGAGAGAGACGTGGGGCAGGGCGGTGTCCTCAGCTGCTCCCCACACAAAGGGCAGGGGGACCCCCGGGCACAAGGGAGGGGCTTCCTGGGGGCCCAGCTCCTCCCACAGCACCTCCTGAAGGGCCCCCACCCCAGCATGGACCAGACTCTCCACCCTGCCGCCCTTCCCCAGCGGGGTCTCTGTGCTCTCAAACGTGCTCCTGGCCCAGCACTCACGGTGCCCCCTCCCTGGACCCTCTCGGCGGCCTCGATGGGGTGGTCCAGGCTGGGCCGGCCCAGGTAGATGTCCTGGCTGGGTGAGAAGGTGGAGAGCAGCCGCAGCAAGCCTCTGGGGTTCACGTAGTTGTCGTCGTCCACGTGGCAGAACCACCTGGGGGCGGCCAGAGGTGCTCTGGAGCGAGGGGCTGGTGCCGCTGGGGGCCTCCCCCTGCTGGCTCCCAAGCGTGTGTGGGCCCAGCCTCAGCCCTGGGCTCTCCCGGGGGCACTGGAGCAAGGCCACCACATACTTGCGTCCGGACTCGATGAACTTGTCATACTCCACGGCCATCTTGCAGCACAGGGCCTGGCGGGTATGCACGGCCGAGCAGTTGGTGTTGATGACGTGGCTGCCTACCCGGCGCAGGAAACGGGGGAGGCATGAGGGCCAGCCCGCCCCATGGTGATCAGGGCAAAACGGGGCTGTCCAGCGGGCATGGCCTCCTCGCCCTGCTTGAAGCCCCCAGGCCGGGTCCAACCGCGCAGCCCTGGCCAGCTGCTGACCCACGGGGCCCAGACCGGTGACAACCATCTGCACCACTGTGAGGGCAAAGCCGGCCCAGGTTGACGACGTGCCCGGAGTGGGGCTGCCAGGAAAGAGTGGCTCTCTGCTGGAGCGTCTTCAGGGACCGTTTGGGGACTGTGGCTCCGGCCCGAAGCCCTGGGAGGCCTGCCAGGGCTGCGGGAGGCAGAGCCCAGCCCGTGTGTGTAGGGGGCCTGGATGCTGGCCCTGCTCTCCACCAGCTGTGTGGCCCTGGGCAAGCGACGGCCCCCACCCCGCCCCGGACCTCTCTACCCAGCAGGGAGACGGGTGTCACCGCACCAAAAGATCCATGAGGCTGGAGAGTTGCACTCACCTGCCCGGAGTCGCAGTTCAGGGTCATCCCCGTCCGTGAAGATGAACGTCTGGGGAGAGACAACCTGTGAAGCCCCAGGGGGACCGGGATGGAGCTGCAGAGACGCCCCTGGGTGAGCCTGGGCTTCAGAGATGGAACTTCGGGATGAGAAGAGGGTGCCCAGGACGGGGCTGGACGCTTGGGGTTGGGACAGCGGAGCGGGGTTCCCCAGCGACGGCCTGCTGCTGTCCCCAGTGTCTCCTGCTGCGGTTGGGGCCAGGCCTGCTCTCACGGGACATCTGTGGGGTCTTGGTCCAGTGTCAGCTGAGAGAACCCACCCAGTTGGGAAGGCAGCCGTGCTTGGGTCCCCACAGACTCAGAGTAAGGGTCTGGCCATCACTCTGGGGACACAGCAGTGGGCAGGGGGTCCCGGGGATGGGGTCTCCGGGGCAGCCCTTGCGGGGTCAGGGGTGTAGGGGGCGCGGACGGTTGAGGTCCGGCACCGGGGGATAGGGGTGCCGGGGTCCAGGGGCTGGGGTGCCGCGATCGGGGATCCCGGGGCGAGGCCCACCTGCTGGCGGGCCCGGGAGATCCAGGTGCTCAGCAGCAGCCCCAGGCGTGGCCCGTGGTTCTTCTGGGTGGTCTTGACAGCGATGAAGACGTCGTCCGGCCGCAGGCGGGGGACGGAGGCGGGTCGGGTGGGGGATGCCCGCCGGCCGGGGCTCGGACTGGGAGCCCTGGCAGGGGCGGGGGCCGGCGCCGGTACGCGGGGCAGTGGCAAGGGCAGCAGCAGTAGCGCGGCCAGGGCCGCGGCCAGCGCGAGGCAGGCCCGGCACAGCGCCCCCCGCGCGCGGCTCATGCGGCCGCGGGACCCGCGGGCACCGCCCGGGCCCAGGCCGCGCAGCGGCCCCTTTAAGAGCCGCCCCGCCCGCCGCGACCCGGATGCGCTGCCCCGGAAGTGGATGGTGCTGCCCCGGAAGTGGACGGCGCGCCGCGGCGGGGTCGGTGAAGATGCCGCTGCCGGTTCAGGTGTTTAACCTGCAGGTAACGAGCCGCGGCCGGCGACCCCTCCGCGCCCTCCCGCACCCCTGCTCCCGCCCCCCACCCCCGTCGCCGCCGGGCCGGGGCCGGGCCCCCGCGCGGCCTCCCCTCCCCGCCGCCCGGCGGCCTCGCGCAGGGAACCCGCCGTGGGCCCGGCAGCCCGGCCCGGCGCTAACGCTGTCTTTCCCTTCGGCCACAGGCCAGCTGTGTGTCAGGGTTGGGGGGTGCAGAGTCAGGACAGGATGAGGGGTAGCCCGGCCCCCAGCTCGGCCTCCTCGTCAGTGACCGATCTGTACCGCGCCCCTCACAGCAGTAGGTCAGACCTCTTCCTACGGGGCACGGCCGGGGACTTCAGCCTGAGCGCCAGCCTGTCGGCCTGTACGCTGCTTCACGAGGTACCTTCCAGGACAGGGGGCCCAGGAGCGAGCGAGCCTGGGAGGGGGGCGCGCCCCCGCCCGCCGTCCGGGCCAGCCGGCGCAGGACGCGCGCCCCAGGACACTGTTCCGTCGCCGCCTGGGCCCGCCGCCCCCGCTGCCGGGCGCTGCTTGAGGCTCGGAGAAGCTGCGTCAGGACGGTGGCTGCGGCCGTGAAGGGACCGCAGGCCCCTCCCCGCCCCCCGCCCCGCTGCCTGCCCGCGGCCCCGGAGACCCGCTGTGGAGAGGGCGCCAGGGCTCTCTGCTCAGCGGCCGCGGGGCTTGCGAGGGGCGGCGTGGGACAAGGGCTGGGGAAGGGTCAGGGACGGCCAGCGCCTCCAGACTGGGTCCCGGACAGGATCCCGCAGACAGGATCCCCTGGACAGGATCTCACAGACAGGATCCCGCAGACAGGATCCCGCAGACAGGATCCCGCAGACAGGATCCTGCCGGGGACGTGGCACCTCGGGCAGAGCCCGACTCAGGGCACAGTGAGGGTTTCTCGCCCTTCTTGGTCAGTCCGGTTCGAGTGCCAAGTGCCTGCCTGTGTTGCAGGGGGCCGTGGAGCCCATGCAGATCGATGTGGACCCCCAGGAGGACCCGCAGAATGCGTCCGATGTCAACTACGTGGTGGAGAACCCCACCCTGGTAAGGAGCCCTGCCGGCAGTCCTAGGGCAGGCAGCAGGGGCGTGTGGTGTCAGTCCTGGGGCGGGGGTAGGCTAGGCTCCCCCCCCAAGCCATGTTTTTCTCTGACCCAGAAACCTCTCGGCTGTTCGGTTGCCACTGGTCATGGGGGGCGGTAGCCCAGCCAGAGACCGTGTGCCCCACTTCTCTTCATGGGGCAAGAGCCCACGTGCGGCTCTCCTCAGACCCAGGACAGGTCTTTCTTGGCGCCCAGGTCAGGAGCACGGCCTCCTGACCGCTCTGCCTGGGGACTGGCAGTCACGAGTCATGCCCATCTGGCTCTGGCCATTCACCCCCTCAGCGCCCCAGGCAGAGCTCTACGCTGGAGGCCCCCGCCCTGGCTCACGCCAGGTGGCCTTTGCCAGCACCGGAGAGCCGTCTGGCTGGCGCCCGAGCACCTCGTTCTTGCCATGGGTATAGGGCTTCTCGGATACCGCAGGAGGGTCAGTGTCTGGGTCCTGCTCCCGGCTCACCCGCCAGGGCTTGGGGTCTGGGGTCCCGCCTTGCACAGCCTCCGTCCACTCCCGCCTCCCCGACTTCAGGATCTGGAGCAGTACGCGGCCAGCTACAGCGGGCTGATGCGCATCGAGCGGCTGCAGTTCATTGCTGACCACTGCCCCCCGCTGCGGGCGGAAGCCCTGAAGATGGCCCTGTCCTTTGTGCAGAGGACCTTCAATGTGGACATGTATGAAGAGATTCACCGCAAGCTCTCGGAGGCCACCAGGTGACACCAGGGGCTTGGCCAGAGGAGGCAGGGCCCTTGGTGGGAGCAGACTCCAGGGACTGGGCATGGTGTGTCCCCCTTGGGTCTAGCCTGGGCAGGGGCCCTTCCTGTGCTCCTGACGCCTGACACCATCCCCGTGTGGGCACTTAATAGCGTCCCTGCCTCAATGTGGGGACATGGCCTTCTTTGTTAAAAAGCCAGGAGGAGCGATAAATGGCAAAACAGGCCAGGTTCTCAGTCGCCCTATCGTGGGGCTCTCTGCATTGCCCTGGCCTTTCTCTGCGTGCACAGGGCGCGTAGACGTCCTGGCGGGAAGCGGGGCTTCTGGAGACGGCACCTTGCTCTCCTCTGCGCGTGGCCGCACGCACGCGCCTTCTCCTGGTGGGTGTGCGCTCCAGGCTGTGGGCCTGTGTTCCTGTGCTGCCTGGGTGCTCCCTCGGCAGGGGCTGGGCAGGGGCCCCCGGGGGGCACCCCCCTGCCTGCACCTTGGCCCTTGACTGCCGGAGCACTCCCTCAGGGAGCTGCAGAACGCGCCGGACACCATCCCCGAGAGTGGCGTGGAGCCGCCGCCCCTTGACACGGCCTGGGTGGAGGCCACTCGGAAGAAGGCTCTGCTGAAGCTGGAGAAGCTGGACACGGACCTCAAGAACTACAAGGGCAACTCCATCAAGGAGAGCATCAGGTGCCGTTCTTGTGAGGCTGGGAGGCTGGCGCCGGCAAGGCCCGCGTGGCCCTGGGGCAGGTCTGCTCACGTCTGGCCCCACAGGCGCGGCCACGACGACCTGGGTGACCACTATCTGGACTGTGGGGACCTGAGCAACGCCCTCAAGTGTTACTCCCGGGCCCGGGATTACTGCACCAGCGCCAAGCACGTCATCAACATGTGCCTCAACGTCATCAAGGTGGGCCCTGCCTGGGCGGGATGGGCGGCCGCAGGGGCTGCGGGGCGGCGCTGCCCCTGAGCCAGGAGGGGGCGCCCCGGCTGAGCCCGCCCCACCTGCCTGCCAGGTCAGCGTCTACTTGCAGAACTGGTCTCACGTGCTGAGCTACGTGAGCAAGGCCGAGTCCACCCCGGAGATCGCCGAGGTAACGGCGGCGTCCCCACTCTGTCCCGGTCCCCGGACTGCTGTGCCCCGGTGGGCGGGGCCCTCCCCAAACTGCCCTTGCCCCTCAGGCTGGGGCAGGGCCCAGGAAAGGACCAGGGTGTGCAGGCTGGTGGCTGACGTGTCCCACTTTGCCCTGCAGCAGCGTGGGGAGCGGGACAGCCAGACCCAGGCCATCCTCACCAAGCTCAAGTGCGCCGCCGGTGAGCGCTTCGGGGCGGAGGCCGCCGCAGCTGAGCCCGGCGGGGGTGGCGTGTGCCGGTCCCATGTCGGTTCTCACTGCCGGGGTGGGGGGCCTCGTCGCAGCTGAGGAAACGTCAGCTGGGGTGCCCGCAGGCCACGGTGCCGGGCGGGAGGCCAGTGCGCAGCCGTGGTCGGGGACGGGGCGTGGCTAGCGGGTGGGCCTGGGTGTCCTTCGGAGGAGTCCCCGCCGCTGCGCACGGCTCCCCCAGGCCCTCGACTCCAGGGCGCTCCCGGCCAGGCTCGCGGCGTGGCCACGTGTGAGCAGAGTCCCTGTCCCTGACCCCGGGAAGTGGCGGGGCGGGGGCGGGGGGCGCCGGGCCTCACCGCGCCCCCCCCGCAGGCCTGGCGGAGCTGGCGGCGCGCAAGTACAAGCAGGCGGCCAAGTGCTTCCTGCTGGCCTCGTTCGACCACTGCGACTTCCCCGAGGTGAGGGGCCCGAGGCCGTGGGGGACGCGCCCTCGCTGGGACTCGGGAAGCAGGGGAGGGCTCACGGGTCACGGTCTTTATTGAGGGGACGTCCCGTGGAGTCCTGCATGTGGTTCGGGTGGGTGGTGGGTGGGGCAGGGGTGACCCAGCCTCATGTCTGCGTCTCCTCCTTGGATTTGGTCTTGACTGTCCGTGACCCCGGGTGTCTGGTCCCGACTCTTCTTGCCCGCAGCTGCTTTCTCCCAGCAACGTGGCCGTCTACGGTGGCCTGTGCGCCTTGGCCACTTTTGACCGGCAGGAACTGCAGCGCAACGTCATCTCCAGCAGGTGGATGGGGGGTGGGGTGCCGGCCCTGCACCCAGGGGCCTGTGGGGGGGCTCCGGCCCTCGGCCGCCAGCGCAGGTGCCCGTCAGGGCAGGTGCGGGGCCGGCTCTGAGGGCCGTGCGTCTGCAGCTCCTTCAAGCTGTTCCTGGAGCTGGAGCCACAGGTTCGCGACATCATCTTCAAATTCTACGAGTCCAAGTACGCCTCGTGCCTGAAGATGCTGGATGAGATGAAGGTGAGGGACCGGCCAGCTTTGGGGCGGGGGGGAGGGGCGGGGACCGGGGGGCAGCGGTGCCTGAGCAGGTCTCCTCACCAGGACAACCTGCTCTTGGACATGTACCTGGCCCCCCACGTCAGGACGCTGTACACCCAGATCCGCAACCGCGCCCTCATCCAGGTAGACGCCGGGGCGCGGAGGCTGAGGCGGGGCGCTGCGGGCGGGCCTGGGAGTCCCTGGCGGCTGACTCGGCCTCGGCCCCGCAGTACTTCAGCCCCTACGTGTCGGCGGACATGCACAAGATGGCCGCGGCCTTCAACACCACCGTGGTGGCGCTGGAGGACGAGCTGACGCAGCTCATCCTCGAGGGGCTCATCAACGCCCGCATCGACTCCCACAGCAAGGTGGCCGGTCCCGGGCCAAGGCCGTGGGTGCAGGGCGGGCCCCCGGGCCGTGGGGAGCACCGCTGAACCCCATCCCTCCGCCACAGATCCTGTACGCCCGGGACGTGGACCAGCGCAGCACGACCTTCGAGAAGTCCCTGCTGATGGGGAAGGAGTTCCAGAGGCGCGCCAAAGCCATGATCCTGCGGGCGGCTGTGCTGCGCAACCAGATTCACGTCAAGGTGAGGGCAGGGGCGGCCCTGGCGCGACGAGCGGCAGGGTGGGCACACACGCGTCCCCTGGGCTGAGCAGCCCTGTCTCCCCTCCAGTCCCCTCCCCGAGAAGGGAGCCAGGGGGAGCTGACGCCGGCCAACAGCCAGTCCCGAATGAGCACCAACATGTGAGGGCGCCCGCTGGCCTCCAGGACCGGCTCGTGCCCCACCCGCCCCCGCCGCGGCCTCGACACACAGGCTCCCACAGCTCACCCGCTACTCGTGGAGGGGCCTGTGTACCCCCCTGGCCCTCGCTCTGCAGGGCCTCCCGCCGGGGCATCCAGGCCGGCTTCCCGTGTTCCCTCGCCCCCTGCTGTGCCCGGCGAGGGGGGCTGCTGCTGCTCAAGGCCCTTCTCGGAAGGAGACCGCCAGGGCTCACCCGTGACCTCCTGGTGCCGCCCCCGCCCCCCAGCAGCACCGCCTCCCAGCCCCCTTGTTGTGTCATTGAGGGCGCAGGCGAGTTCAACGTCAGTCCATTAAAGGGCAGCCTGAGAACGTTCCCTCGTGCCATTCCTTCCCGCTAAGAGGGCTTCCGAGGCCCATCTCCATGAGGTCAGGCTTTGGGGTCAGGGCTCCCCACCCATTATGCGGGCCAAACGGTTAGCCCCTCGTTTAGGGGTTTCCCAAGGTAGCGGCTCCTGCCCGTGGCCACTGGCTGAGTCTTCACCAGCCCCGGCTCCGTCCTCCCAGCCTCGCGTCACGTCGAGTCTCGCAGGCCCGGGGTCTGCTCACGCTGTTTCTGGTTCTCTGCATCCTTTCAGAGATGCACGTTTATTGTTCGCTTTTGAACACACACGTTGCAGGGAGGGGGCAGGTCCAGCCTGGGCGCCTGTTCCCCGGTGCAGCATTTCTGGGCTCCTGGCGTCGGCCGAGGGGAGACCAGCTCTTCCTTCCGCACTGAGTAGCGGGAGGCTCCCTGAGTAAAGGCATTTCCTTGAGTGGGACGCGTAGAGGTCTGAGCAGCAGTCCGGGCCTGGGGCGGCGCTGTGTCCGGCTCTGGCTGCCCCTCAGGCCAGGGCACTGCCCACCACCTCAGGAAGGCCGCCTGGCTCCCCAGGTCCTGCTGGCTGGGGCTCCTTCCAGGCCAGAGCCTTCTCCAGTTTGGTTTTAAAAAGCAATCCGTGACCTGGCGGCAGAGAAGGGCAGTGGGGCTCAGGAGGCTGAGGGTCCCACTGCCCGCTGGGGGCTGGGACTGGGGTTGGGGGCGGGGGCTGCGGGCAGCAGAGGCGCCCGTACCTGGGCAGTCCGCGGCCTCCCTGAAAGCGCTCGTCTTGCAGCAGCCCCGGCACAGGCTGAACACACACCTGTTGCCCTGGACGCGGGGAAGCCAGTGAGCCGCAGCTGAGGCCCCCACCTGAGCCAGCCCCCCGAAGCCCAGGGCCAGCCAGGAGCCCTGGCGGGCTGTAGCCCAGCCCAGGGCCTGCCTTCCACGCCGCAGGCGGCTGTCGTGAGGCGGGCAAACAGCCATCCTCCCTGGGGCTGCCCCCCCCCGCCCCGCCAGGTCCTGGGCAGTGTCCGTGGGGACCGCCCTGCCCGCCGCCCCCAGCGCTGAGCTCTGGCCCGGGCAGCACGGCCAGACTCACCTTTGGGTTTCCACACTGATCGCACTTAGCATATTTTGCTGAGAAAAGAACAGAAGCAGGTGTTGGTGGAGCCGGTGAGCCGGCCCGAGGACGCAGCACACGTGCCCCCACCGCGTACTAGGTGCCTGCCGCTAGAGCCTTCCCCGGAGGGTGGCCTCAAAGCCCGGCCCCACCTCCAAGCAGCAGCCAGGGAAGCAGCCGGCAGGCCGGGCCGTAGCCACTCACCGTGGCAGCCGGCTCCCAGCAGGCCTTTGCCACTGCGCTCCCCCCGTCCTGGGGAGCAGCCCCTGGGCCCCGCAGGGAGAACTGCTTACGCTTCAGCGAGGGGTCGAAGGTCTTGTGGGGGTTCCTCAGCTGCTTCTTCTGCTTGTTCTTGGACAGGACGTCCGTGCCGCCCTCCTCCTCCTCCAGGGCCCGCTTGCTCCGTGCCCCCCCGCTCTCCTTGCTCCCCTCCCTGGGCCTGGAAGGGAAGGGCAGCGGGCAGAGCCGGCCCCGTTGAGGGGTGACCCACCAGCCTGGGCCCCAGGACGTGTACAGCGCCCCAGCAGCTCGGCTCCTGGGCTCCTGGGGCCGTGGCTGGGTCTGAGTGGCCCCAGACGACAGCCCAGCCCCGGCTGCAGGGACCCAGGGGAAGCTCAGGGGTGCCTGCCACTTACCCCCAGGACAAATCCACTGGGACCGCTTAAGAGAATCACCTTACGGGGACAGCGGGCATCTCAAGACAGAGCCGAGCCGCCAGCACCCTCCACCAGGGCTGCAGAAGGCACGCCAGGCCCCGGTGCAGGGAGCAGGTGCCCTCTCCTCCGTGTGTACCCAGCCCGTGGGCTGGTGGGAAGCTCACCCCGGCCGCAGGTAGGGCTGGCAGATCCAGTGGAAGAAAGGCAAGCCGCCAGACGGCTTCTCTCCCTCCTTCTGCCTGGATATATCCTCCTGCAGAAGCCCAGAGCAGCGCACGTCACAGAGCCCAGACGCCCCACCTGCCGCCCTGCCCCCCGCCAGCCCCACCACCTGCCTGACACCGCAGCTTCAGCTCCTGGTTCACGGCCACAACACCCTCCAGGGTCTTCACCTTGGCGAGCTCCTCCCGGAGCTGCTGATGCACCTGCAGCCTGAGACAAAGGATCCGTCCCCGAGCCGCCCCCAGGTCGAGCCCCTGCCCGGCACGCAGACCCGACTCGGGAGCGAGCTCTCCCGATACACGCTTCCAGAGAGCTCCCCTTAAGTCCCCCAACACCCAGTCAGGGTTCAGACCCGCCAGCATCTGCCTTGAGGAGCAACTCACGTGTGGTGCCACAGCTTGAAGAGGTGGGCGCGGACGCAAGACAGGGGGCAGGGGTGCTGCCGCACGATGTCCAGGTACTCCTCGGCCAGCTCCCACACGGCAGGGCTGCGGCCCTCAAACAGGGCGGGGTTGTGCAGGTTGCCCTCTAGGGGGAATCGGGGGGAGGAGGGCTCAAGGCGGCAGACACTCACGTCCCCGGAAGGTGGCCCCCCACCACTCGGGCCACGGGCAGCCGAGGCCTGGGAGTGAGGCCAGCACGGGCCCCGGGCACCCCAACGGGGCCCATCAGCCGCGGCCCTGCCTCACCTGCACTCATGACCCCCTGGACTCCTGTGTCCTGGATACAGCGCTCCACGTCCCGCAGGCACTGGATGTTCCCGTTGGCAAATACAGGGATGGCCACTGCCTTCCTGTCGGGAGCAGGGGCAGACACTCAGCAGAGGAGAACCATGTCCCTTCGTCCCCCATACCAGGCACAGAGCTCCAGCCCCCACACTCCCTCCGACCCCACGGCACAGCTGCCTGCCAGCTCGCGAGCCGCGGCCCCCTCCACGCACACTCACCGCACGGCCTTGATGTGCTCCCAGGAGGCAGTGCCCGACAAGGGCCCCTTCTGCTCCTTGGTGCGCCCATGCACAGTCAGCAACTAGAACACGGTGAGGCCTGGCTCTACTGTGCTGTGACCACAGACCCCAAACCAAACCCTGGGCCTCACATGCCCAGTGCCGGCCCCCCAGTACCCTGGCTTGCAACAGGGGGCTGCTGCCTGTGGCTCCCGTGTCCCACGGATCCACCCAGCGTGCAGCACAGAGGCGGCACCTGTTTGAGGGCCACTCTTCGCGAAGTGGCAGTATGCCAGGTCCAAAGGTGTTGGGGGGGCACCAACCTGACCTTAAGGCTGGGGTCAGGTAGAGGAGGGCAGCTGAGGCCTGGCCCCTCCCAGGACCAGCCTCCTCCTTGGGGACACGCAGCTCCCCCACCCTCACCAGGCCTTGCCTCGTGGTGACCATGATTCTGGCCCTCCCTGGCGAGTTGGTGCCTCAAGGGAGCTCCTGGGGGCAAGGACCCCTCCCTACCTGGTCAGGGTGCAGGGGACAGGAGACAGGGGAGTAGGGCGTGGACCTGCGAGCCCTCAGCCCCTCACCTGGCAGCCGGCCTTCTCCAGCATCTGGGCGTACCTCACGGTCTTGTCGATCTCCGGGAAGACTCGGATTTTGCACGTGACAGGCACGGCGAGTTTCTCGTGCGCCAGGAGAACTGGGGAAAAGGAGTCGGCTTCGGACAAGCGTGCTGCTTACCCCGGGCCAGCCGTGGGGAGCCCCGCCTCGCACCAGCTCCCACCTGCGCAGACACTGCAGGGCCGGCCGGGCCGGGACACCTGCCCCCAGCTCCCGCGGTCCGGTCTGCTGTCGGGTTCAAAGGGGAGTGGCTGGCATGGAACAGCGGTTTCCCCGCCCCTCCTGCAGCCGCAAGTGTGCGCTGGCCAGGACTCAGCGGCCACCACCTTGGGGCTCCTTTACCAACCATGACCCAGCCTGATCCCCACCCCCGGCCCCAGCACGCAGCCGACTCACTCATTCTCTGGAGCAGATCCCACTCCTCCTGCAGGAAGGCACCGTAGTGACCTGCAAAAGAGCAGCACGGTCCTCGGCCCCGTTCTGCCACATCACACCTGGGGGCTGTGTGCCCGGCTGCCAGAGCTCAAGGGCACGGAGTGGGATGCCCACCACGTCTGACCAACCAGCAACCCCTCAGACTCAGCGAAGAACAATGTCTGCGCCCCAGGCCGGGGAGCGGTCCCAACGCCTAAACTACACTGGGCGGCGTACAGCGTCAGGGTGAGGGCGACGGGGGGGGGGGGGGGGGTGTCCATCCTCCCCAGGCACTAAAGAGGGCAACGAGCCTCAGGCCAGCAGAACCCTGTCGCTCGAGGGAGGAGCAAAGACAGGTCAGGGACGCCACCAGGAGCAGAGCGCAAACCCTCCCCTGGTCTTGTCCATACCCTGGCCTCTTGGTGGGCCCCCTGTGGTTTAGGGCCTTGCCCTCCCCCACCAAGGCCATGCTCCGCACCGCGACCTGCGGCTGAACCCACCTCTTTTGGCTATCATCTGTGGGCAGCCCAAATTCAGGTCGATGGCATCACAGTAATCCTGAGCCAGGAGAGCCGCCTGGACAAACACCTCCGGGTCATTGGCGCAGAACTGGGAAAGACACAGGTGGTGTCGTGAGCCCGAGACAAACCCTGGTACCGCAGCTCCCCGGCCCCACAGGACATTCAGGGTCCCCGGGGCTGCCTGCCAGATGGCATCGTGCGCTAACATTTACGCGACGACATGTGCCCACACCACGAGGAGGGGGAGTCACAGACGCCACGTCCGTCCCGACTGTGAGGTGACACTGGCATCACTGACTTTAGGAGAGCAGAGTGTGCCTCCCCAAGGCCCCGTAACGAGAGGACACGTGGCAGACAGGCAGGCGAGGGGGGAGGGGCTGCCAATCTCGCACAGCACCCAAGGCGTCCCCTCGCCCAAACTGAGCCGGCGGCCCGGGAAGGGGTCAATCTCTGGGAGACCAGCCCCAGGAGCCCCGGGAAGCCCAGAGCTTCGCCAGAGCATGCCCGCCCCCACCCCCCGAAGCTGTTCCTGGAAAGATGCTGCACCTGGCATTCCCGGCCAGGCCCCTGCCCACCTGCACAATGAGAGGCCGGTCCTCGGGGCACACCTCGCAGTACAGGTTCTCCTTCCGATAGTTGGCGTCGCGGACGAAGACCTGGGCGTGCAGCATGGGGGTGTAGCAGAGCTGGGCCCCGTGGCGGCGGCTCAGCAGCCTCCAGGCCAGCTCACTCTGGTCCACCATGGGCGCCACCACGTGGCGGGCGCCCCCCAGGGTGCGGCTCCAGAACTCGAAGCCCTGCAGCTTTGGCATCGCCTCCACACTGAAAAGGGGGAGACCAAGGGTCAGCCACTGGGGCAGAGCGGCAGGGCAGCCGTGAAGGCATCGGGTGGAGCCCAGAGGACGCACAACCCTCCTCGAGGCCGCTCCAGGGCAGCCCGACAGTCACAGACACAGACATCAGGGTCACCCTTGCTGCAGACCCAAGGCCATCGCCTCCGGGCAGAGCGTCCCCACCCGCTCGCCAGTGAGCCAAAAAGCCAGGGAACGCGCTGTCCTGGTCCTGCCTGCCCCCCCCCCCCCCCCCCCCCCCCCCCCCCCCCGGGGGGGCCGCCCCCCCCCCCCCCCCCCCCCCCCACACACCCCGGGCCCCCCCCCCCCCGCCCCCCCCCCCCCCCCCCCCCCGCCCCCCGACACCTCGGTCAGGGAGGACGGCCCTGCCCACCTGCTCCGCACAGGAAACGCCTCAACGCGCCCCGGCTCACCGCACCGGTGCTGGCCAGACGCCCTCGCTGCAGCCGCCCTTCCCCACAGGCCGTCAGAGCAGCCGCGGCCCCGCTGCCTCCCCCAGCGGAACCCCGGGGACAGCCCCCGCAGGGGCGCGCGACTCCGCGCACCGAGCTCCGCGGTCACGAAGCAGTCACCGGCCTGACCACCCATCGAGCGCGCCCCTGGGGGGGCCTGACACTGCCCGACCGAGGTCCCACGGGAAAGTGCCCGGGGCACAGGCGCGCGGGGCGCTGAGGCGCTGTCACCGTCGCTGCCGCCTCGCGCGGGCGCCCGGCGGGACCCGCAGGACACCTACCTGCCCGGGCCCCTCCCGGACCGCCGGCGGGCCTCTGAGAGCCAGGGCGCGGCGGGGGCTCCCTCACTGACCGCAGGCCGCCACGCCGGGGCCGCCGTCCGGCCCAGGGCTCCGCGCCGGGGCCGCCGGAAGGTGCCTCCGCCAGGGCGGTCCGGGCGGCCCGCGGTGCGGCGGGAAACGCGTCCCTGGGAAACCGCGCCCAGCCGCGGAGGAGCCCCGCCCCGCGAGGTCGGAGGTCAGAGGCCGGAGGTCAGAGGCCGGAGGTCAGCCGGGCCCCGCCACAGCGCGTTCGGGCGGGGAAGGGAGACGCGCCGGCAGCGGGCGCCGAGGCCCGGCTCGCCCGGCGCCCGCTTTCCACTCCGGGCTCCCGCTTCTGCCTCCCGCAAGGGCCGCAAGTCCCCTGCCTCGGCCCGGCGCTCAAAGACCTCCGGGAGCCCCCACAGGCCGGAAGTGCTGCCGTCCGCGGGGCCCCACCCCCGCACTTCCGGGGCCCGGCCGGGGTGCGCGCGCGGCTAACCCGCCTGAAACGGAGCACGCACGCGCAGGGCGCTCCCCGCCGCGGGGGCTGGCGCAGGCGCACCGGGAGTCGGGGGGGTGGTCGCGGCGGGAGCTGCGAGCGGGAACCGCAGTGGTGCGGACCTTCCCCCTGGCTGTTTCCGAAACCCGCTCGCTCCCCTCTCCGCCGCTAGCGAGGCGCCCGAAGCCCTGCCCGTGCCTGCGGCGAGCCGCGGACGGCCCGCGCCCGTGCTTTAATTCGCGGGCCCCTGCGCACAAACCCGACAGTGTGGAGGCCGTTTAGTTCCGGCCTTGAGTACGGCCGCGTCCCCGAAGGACGGGCGTTGGAGGAAAGACAGGTCCAGACCGAGAGACGCGTCAGCCCGTCCGAAACGACGAGCGCAGCGAGCACCTCCGCCGGGTCCGCGGGGCCGGCCGCTCCCGGACGCGGCCGGTCAGGGCCGGGACGTGCTGGGAGCGCGACCCGCGCCGGCTGCGGACGCTCGGGGAGGGACAGAGGCGCGAGCGTTCGTTCCTGGACCTAGGAGTGCTGATTCCGGATGCACGGGACCGTTCTTCGCTTGGCTTCAACACGTTATTAAGAGGAAGGTCGTGCGGGCGCCTGGGGGGCTCTTGGGTCGAGCGTCCACTCGTGGTTTCAGCTCAGCTGCCTGTGTCGGGTTCGCGGGATGGAGCCCCTTGTGGGGGTCTCCCCGGGATTCTTGGCTCTCCTCTGCCCCTTCCCTCCCACCTGCCCTTACTAAAAACACACAACAACCCCGAAATCAATGCCATGCAGTCTTTAAAAAATACGGTAACTAGAAAATTTAAGACTGTCTACATGGGCAGGATTTCTGGAATAGCAGATAGAGGAGTTTTCCAAATGCCTTCCCAAAAAAGCAATGTTTAAAACAGGGCAAATCGTTTAAAGCAACCATTCCAGGACTCTTTTTTTAAAAGATTTTGTTTGTTTATTTATTTATTCGACAGAGAGAGCACAAGCTCTCTCCCAGGTGCCCCCCATTCCAGGACTCCTGACCAAAGACATACAACATTTAAGAGCACTTAGACGGAAGTTATGAACATCAGGTGGGCCTGGCTGGCTTCTCAGCAGAGCCAGGGGCCGGGTGTGACCCTTGATCTTGGGGTTGTAGGTATGGACCCCATGTTGGCTGCAGAAATTACTCAAGAATAAAACCTTTAAGGAAAAAAAAGGAAGGGGTGACTGGGTGGCTCAGTGGGTGAAGCGTCTGCCTTCGGCTCAGGTCATGATCCCGGGGTCCTGGGTTCGAGCGTAGGTCAGGCTCCGCTCTGCGGGGAGTGTGCTCCCTCTGCTGCTGCTCTCCCTGCTCGTGTGCTCAACGTCTCTCTCTCTCTTTATCTTGCTGTCAAATAAATAACTAAAATCCTTAAAAAGAAAGGGGGCATTCTGTGGAGTTTCGGGAAGGGGCGCCTTTCCTTTCCTCCCACCCTCTGGTAATTCCACCAGAGTCAGGTGGGCCTCCAGGACCTGACACCGGGGAGGGCTGATTAGAAAGCCTCCCAGGGTGCTGAGAAAATTGCAGTCGTGGTGGCAGACGGCGAGCTGGACACGCAGCTGCCAGAGGCCACAGGACTGGTCGAAGCAAGGACAGCGCAGCCAGAAATGCAACAAGGAGACTCGGTCGACAAAACAGCAGTCATCGGGGCAGCTGCCGGTGGTGCCTGGTGGCCTGCAAGGCCGCGTGTGTGCCCCGCAGGGACCAGGCTGCGCTCCCAGCTCCACACTCTTCTCTGGCTGCATTTGAGGCTTCGCAGCAGCAAAACGGAAAAACCAGGGCTGGACTGCGGACTGCTAGGACTTGGAATACGTCCCCAACCTACGCAGAACTGTCGGCAAAGGACGCAGCCCCCCCAAAGGACGCTGGCTCACGATGCTTACGCGTGCCTTCTGACCAGTAACTTACGGTCGTTAAGCTGTACTGACCCAGGGAAACGGAGGAGACCAGGGGCACCCGGCTGGCTCTGTCCACACAGCTCGAGAATTTTGATCACGCAGGGTGTGGAGCCTACTTAAGAAACAAACAACCTGGCAGATACCCCAGTGACCACACTGTGGAGGGGACAGGCTCAGCAGAACCCACCATCCAGGCGCGGTGCTGTGTAAACCCACACCTGCACCAAGAACAACACTGAATTGGGTGGGGGCAGGGGGTTCAGAACCCAGAGTGTCTACAGCACGTCATCTAAAAATGCCCCGTAGTCGTCGATTAAAAACATTCTTTAAAGATTATTCAGTTTAGGGGCCGCCTGGGTGGCTCAATGGGTGAAGTGTCTGCCTTCGGCTCAGGTCATGATCTCAGGATCCTGGGATCAAGTCCTATGTAGGGCTCCCTGCTCTGTGGGGGTCTGCTTCTCCCTCTACCATTCCCCCCGCTTGTGTGCTCTCTCTCTCAAATAAATACATAAATAAAATCTTTTTAAAAATTCGTTTACGAAATCACGCAGTCAGCAGCAAGCACAGCGGTGAGGGTCTGGGGCCTTTCCCTCTGATCAGGGGCAAGGTAAGGAGGCTACTGCCTCTCTACTCGAAATAGTCCTGGGGTTCTCCCGGCACCGCAGGCAAGAAAGAGGAATAAAAGGCATCCAGACGGGAACAGAAGAAAGAAAATGCCTCCTTTTGCTGTCACTGTCTATGTAGAAACTCCCCCAAAACAAAAACAACCTACAACACCCCTAGCCCTAGCCCTGCTCCCCCCGCTCCCCGCCTCTCTGCCTACTTGTGATTTCTCTCTCTCCGTCAAATGAAAAAATGGAATTTAAAAAAACAAAATACAAATATTTATGACCCCCTCGTGTTGCCTCCTGCCCGCCCCCCAAGCCCCGTCCCTAGAAGGCACTGATCTGTTTTCTGTCCCTAGAGATTGCCTCGCCGTCCCAGCATTTTGCAGAAATGGACTCATGCTGCGCGGACTCTCCTGGTCCGGGGTCTGCGCTCAACGGCGTCTCGAGCCCATCCACGCCGTCCTGGGCGTCCGTGGGCCACGCTTGCTGCTGGGCCGCATTCCTCGGTCCGGACAAGCCGCCGTCCACCTGCCGCTTCACCTGCGATGGAGGTCTCCATGTGTGCGGCTCTGGGCTACGAAAAAGGTTTGTGGACAAGTCTGTGTGTGGACACAGACTCTGTTTCTCTTGGATACGTGCTTGGAGTGGAACGGTCGCCTCGTGTGGTAGCTGCGCGCGTCACTTTTTCAGAAACTGCCCGATTGTTTTCCAGCGCCGGTGCGCCGTCTCACGTTTCCGCTAGCAACACGGGGAAGTCCCAGCTGGTCCGTATCCTCCAACGCTTAATATTTTTTTATTTTTTTAAGATTTTATTTTTTAAAAGATTTTATTTATTTATTTGACAGAGATCACAAGTAGGCAGAGAGAGAGGAGGAAGCAGGCTCCCTGCTGAGCGGAGAGCCTGATGCAGGGCTCGATCCCTGGACCCTGAGATCATGACCTGAGCCGAAGGCAGACGCTTCACTGACTGAGCCCCCCAGGCACCTCTCTCATTGTGTTCTTAATTATGAAATGTTATGTCTGTTCCTTTGATCTGTTTCACATCTTTTGCCCATTCAAAATTTTAAAAAAATTTTAAAGATTTTATTTTTAAATAATCTCTACACCCAGCGTGGGGCTTGAACTCACAACCCCAAGATCAAGAGTCACATGCTCCACCAACTGAGCCAACTGGCAGCCCTCTTTTGCCGATTTTTAAAAAATTAAAATGTTCGTTTCCTTTTTGTTGAATTTTGAGAGTTCTTTACATGTTCTAGACATAGATCCAGTGGTCTGTGACTTACTTTTCATTTTTCATGATCTGTGTCTTTCAAAGAGTAGACACGGGCGCCCGGGGGTCAGTCAGTTGAGCATCGGACTCTTTTTTTTTTTTTAAAGATTTTTTATTTTATTTATTTGACAGAGATCACAAGTAGGCAGAGAGGCAGGCAGAGAGAGAGGGGGAAGCAGGCTCCCCGCTGAGGGGGGAGCCTGACGCAGGATTCGATCCCACGAGCCGAAGGCAGAGGCTTTACCCACTGACCACGCAGGCGCCCCTTCATGGCTCTAATTCTGTGTCCTGATGTCAGTAAACGCACTGATTATTGCAGCTTTGTAATAAATTTTGAAGAGTCTTGGAATCAGGCACCGCAGCTTCTCCACCCCTGCCACTCTCCAGCGCATCCCATGGGAACTGACTTTCGGGTCTGTGTGTCCCTCCAGACAGGCTTCCGGGATTTCGATTGAGGCTGTATGATGTGTGCGGGCCGGGGGGTGCCCGGCCGGCTCCGGCGCAGCTCGTGGGCCTCCTGGTCTCTGGGTCTTGAGTCCAAGCCCCATGTTGGGTACAGAGATTGCTTAAAGTTAAAATCTTAAAAAAAAACAAACCCGTAATGCTCATTCTGGGGAGAATGGACACATCAGCCCTGAGTTTTGTGACCACGAGCGTGGCACATCTCTGCACCTGCTCCCTTCACCTGGCTCAGCGGGGCCGCGCCCATCTTCCATCGCACTCCCCCAGCTCTGCCTTCTCTGAGAGGCAACTGGCACTGACTTGTTGACGGCAGCGTCTGCCGTTAGTGTCCCTTGTCGGTACTTGCGTGATGGGCTCAGACCCTGTCTCTGCTGGGGTCGTCCCACACTCACCGCCTCCATCTAGCAGGTTTCCGGAGGGTCCGTCAGCGTCTCTGCACGGGGGACCATGTTGCCGGCAACCAGGGCCGGTGTCATTCCTTCCTTCTCCGCTGGACACCTTTTCCCTCCGCTCAGCGGGTTAGTCTCTGCCTCGTCCCCTGTCGCAGGGGGACGCCCGCTCTGCAGCCAATAGGGGCGACGGCGGCTGCATCTTGCCGTCTATCCGGTGCAGGGGGTCTCGCGTCTCTAGCGGGCGGAGAGCTGCCCCCACAGACCTGGGT